CCCCGAGTGGGGAATGATGTAAATGTCGCCGTCCACGGAAAGCACTTTAGTCCAGACCCAGTGGCGTTGTGCACATTGATGTGATTTGTGACGCACTCTGATGTGTTCCAGTTACGTAACTGTGCCAAATATTTTGATAAATGATTAATAAAAAATGTTAACCAATTACTTTTCTGTCACAGTGGTGCCTTTTATCCACTTGCCGAGAGGGATTTGGTCAACTCATTAGATTTCAAACTAAACTTGCAACAACAACTTGTGTTTGCACAGCGCCCTTCCCCGCGAGGTAGCGTCCCAGAGCGCTTCACAGTGACGGAGCCTGACCCCGAGTCAGGGGGCCAGGGGGCCAGGGGGGCCAGGGGGTAGGGATGGGGGTGGGGGGGGGGAGTGGTGGGGGTGGGGAGAAGGAGGTAGGGGGGAAGGAGGTGACCGTAAGCACGATCAAAAAGCAAGGTCTTTAGGCAGGATTTGAAAGCGGGGGAGGGAGGGGGAGAGGCGGAGGGATTGAGGGAGAGAGTTCCAGAGTTTCGGAGGACAGTGGCTGAAGGCACGGTCACCAATGGTGGGGCAGAGGGCATGAAGGACAAACAGGAGGCCGGAGCCGGGCGGGCGGGCGAGCGAGCGGAGGCAGCGGGTTTATTACTGTACCAGCATTGAAAAAAGCCAATCTGCCACAGTGGCCAATGGCTACACAGACCAGGCAGGAGGTACGGCCCTACTATCAACGCTCAACCACACAAGTGTGGAGGATGGAGCTTTTCCTCTCGGTGGCCAATCCACTTGGAAGAGGCGGGGTTGGCGGAGCCGTGTCCGACACTCCTGCGGAAGCTCCTGTAACCCCTAAACTACCAAACCGTTTCAATATCAGCCATGAAGGATCTAGAAGGGAAGTGGAGGTGCCTGTAAAAAAAGTCTCCAGTAAAATTAAGTAACGTTATTCAATACTATTCCGGGTGTCAGGCGAGCTCAGTTGGCTGCACTGTTGCCTCTGAGTTCAAACACATTGGGAGATTGAGTTAATAGCCAGTACAGTGCTGGGAGGGAGCACGGTATTGTCGGAGGTGCTGTCTTTCGGATGAAAACCTTAGACCTGGGTCTCATCTCTCTGCTCAGGTGGACGTTAAATGATTCTGTGGCACTATTCGAAAAGAGAAGGCAATTTCTCACAGCATTTCTCCTGCTCAACAATCACGTTTACCATTCACTTCGTGCCTATTTGTAGGGCATTGCTAGGCACAGATCGGCTGCCACATTCACCTACAAAATACAACAATCACTACGTATTACTGTAAATCCTGAGAAGCACTCGGAGAGGTTTTGACAATATGATAAGGCACCATATCAGATGCAAAGATTATTATTTTGTACAGATCTGAAATCTGTACTGTGATTTCCCCCAATAATCTATATCTTCATTATAGATTATAGATTAATTGAATAATAATCCTTGCATTTGATATCACGCCTTATCACGTGTTTGAGACGTCCCCAAGCGCCTTGTATATTCTACATCAGTTGACGTGCAGACAAAAAAAATTCACTAAACTTTAAATAATGATTATGATGTATACAGAATAAAATGAAGGACCTTTAATTTCAATGTAAGAATGATTAATCCGGGACATGCGCGAGGGGAATGGTGAAGAAATGAAGGTGTTCCTTTGGACAGTCAAAAACTAGAGAATGAGACAACAACGACTTGCATTCATATAGCGCTATTAGTTGCTCCTTTTCTCCCCCTCCCTGTAAATGAAGCTACTCACAGATTACTGAGAAGTGCTTTGTTGAAGAAACAGCGGATGGGACAATACGAAAAAAATTAAAAAGAAACACAAAACTTTAATATTGGGCACTTATTATTCAGGTAGAAAGAACCGGGAGGGAGGGTGGGGGTGGGAGGGAGGGACGGAGGGAGGGAGGGAGGGAGAGTGGGGGTGGGAGGGAGGGACGGAGGGAGGGAGAGAGAGTGGGCGGCTGAAATACCGGTTAGATAGTGGGTGTGAAGAACAGTATTAATAGTAACAATAATCCCGGCATATGACACAGCCCCTTATCACGTCTTCGAGACGTCTCAAAGTGCTTCACAGGATACGCTGTAAAGTGAATTGACTGTACACTTTGTGGGGTGTAGGGAATCCCAGCTCTTTTCTTCATCTAACTCAGCGACAAACAGTACCTGATGTGCTTACACTTACTAATCCCAACAGTTGCCCCTGGGCAGGTGGGTGGGTATGTGTGTGTGTGTGTACGCGTATATGTGTGTGTCCGTGTGTGCGTGTGTATGTGTATGTGAATGTGTATCTGTGTGTGTGTATCTGTGTGTGTGTGTGCATGTATATGTGTGTACATGTGTGTATCTGTGTGTGGTGTGTGTGTGAAGTCAGGGTATGGGGGAAGGTGGGTGTTTGGAGTTGACCTACAGTTCAGCCATGATCTTATAGAATGGCGGAACAGGCTCGAGGGGCTGAGTGGCCTCCTCCTGCTCCTGTGTGTGTGGTGTGTGTGTGGAGGGAGGGGGGGAGGGGGGGGGGGGGGATGTGCAGTGAGGAGTGCGGCCATATAAAGGGTTAAGAAACTTGAGACCTTGTTTGCGCAACCATCGCTGCAGATGAGAGCCGCGCCAAAATGTCTAGACCGGCCACATGATTGGAGCCAACCAATGACTCAAAAGTGTCCCAGGGAGGCCTGAGAGCTGTAAAGGGAGAGGGGAGGAGAGGAGAGAGGGAAGGGGAGAGGAGAGGAGAGAGGGAGGAAGGAGGAGGAGAGGAGAGGGGCGATCTCCCAGTGTTGGGCACCTCCCGGGCAGGACGCAGCCAGAGGACCGACAGCCGTCGTTTTGATCAACTTTGTTCCTTCTTTTTCTTTTTTTTCCCCTCATCATCACATATATATATATATATATATATTGTATATATATATAACAAAAAAATATCACAGAAGAGGAAGGAAAACGATTTAACGCGACCCTCGCCGACCCCGGGACACCGCCTACTGCGCTGAAGCCGAGAGAAGAGAGAGAGGAAAAGGCGATGTTGTGGAGATCCCGAACGGCGGTGACTGTGGATTTATAAAAAAAAAGATTCGCATTGAACTAAACTACACGGAACTGGAGCAGAGAGACCCTCACACACCCCCACACACACACCCTCACACACCCCCACACACACACCCTCACACACCCCCACACACACACCCTCACACACCCCCACACACACACCCTCACACCCTCACACACACCCTCACACACCCCCACACACACACCCTCACACACACACCCTCACACACACCCCCACACACACCCCCACACACACACCCCCACACACACACCCTCACACACCCCCCCACACACACCCCCCCACACACACCCTCACACACACACCCTCACACACCCCCACACACACACACACACACCCACACACACCCTCACACACACACCCCCCCCACACACACACCCACACCCCCACACACACACCCCCTCACACCCCCACACACACACCCACACACACCCTCACACACACCCCCACACACACACCCCCACACACACACCCTCACACACCCCCCCACACACACCCCCCACACACACCCTCACACACACACCCTCACACACCCCCACACACACACCCTCACACACACACCCACACACACCCTCACACCCCCACACACACCCCCACACACACACCCCCACACACACCCCTCACACACCCCCCACACACACCCTCACACACACACCCTCACACACCCCCACACACACACCCTCACACACACACCTCCTCACACACACACCCCCCCACACACACCCTCACACACACCCCCTCACACCCCCACACACCACCCACACACACCCTCACACACACACCCTCCTTCACCCATTCCCACACACACTCCCCCTCTCACACACCCCCATCCCCTCACACACTCACCCCATCACACACACACTCCCCCTCACCCCCTCTCACACTCCCCCTCACACACACACTCCCCCTCACACACACGTAACTGGAGCAGAGAGAGGAGTTACAGGAGAAACACACACATTAGAGACGCACATTAGGAGACACACAAACACACACACACACACACAGCAGCGACCTCTCCGGAGGGGATCCTCTTTATTACTTAGTCCGGTGATACTCGGGGTTAGGGGAGCAGTGAGGGGGGGGGCAGTGAGGGGGGGGTTGGGGGTAGTGAGGGGGGTTAGGGGAGCAGTGAGGGGGTTAGGGGAGCAGTGAGGGGGGGGTTAGGGGAGCAGTGAGGGGGGAGCAGTGAGGGGGGGTTGGGGGTAGTGAGGGGGGGGGGGTTGGGGTAGTGAGGTGAGGGGGGAGCAGTGAGGTGAGGGGGTTAGGGGAGCAGTGAGGGGGGGGGGGGGTTGGGGGTAGTGAGGGGGAGCAGTGAGGTGAGGGGGGGGGGTGCAGGAGCTGAGGGGATCCCCTCTCCTGGTCGCGGGGGTTCGCCGGCGGCGACACTGTAACCGTTTGATGTGACTCCGCCGCTCCGGGAGCCGCCGCCGCCGAATGTGTCGGATCCGCGTCACATTGTATCGCAGCCGCTTCGCTCGCCTCCGGGAGCCGCCCGGTCGGCTGCTGCCCCGGGGCTCGATGCCGTCCCTGATCGCCCCGTCTTCCCCTCTGTCTCTGTCCTGATCCCGATTAGGACCGGAGACCAGAGAGAGAGAGAGAGAGAGAGACAGACAAAAAAGAAGAGGAGAGAGAAAGAGAAAGGAAGAGAGAGAGAGAGAAGTCCAGTCGGTAGTGTATGTGTGTGTGTGTGTGTACACATACACTCTCCCCCCTCACACACACACACACACCCCTCTCACACACACACCCTCTCCCCCTCTCACACACACACACCCTCTCCCCACACACCCCCTCTCCCCCCACACACACACACACCCCCTCTCCCCACACACCCTCCCCCCCCCCCACACACACACCCCCTCTCCCCCCACACACACGGGTCGGATCCCCGAGCTGCAGTAACTGTGCCCCCCACACCCCCCCCCCCCCACGAGGATTGCATTGAGACACATCCCGTCGCATGTTCAGGTCTAAACGCTCAGGCCTTGTGCGGCGACTTTGGCGAAGCCGTGTGGCGGGGGGTCATGGGCAGGACCCGGAGGAGTGGTGCGACCCGACCGGACCGCTGAACGAGCTCAAGTCGGTCACCCACTCGCTGCTCAAGCGGTCGAAGGAGCGGTCGCTGGACCTGTTGGCTCAGGCGGTGGAGAGCCGCGGCGGCTTACACACGGGCTGTGTGCTGTTGGCCCGGGGGGAGCTCCGGGTGGGCCACCACTCGCTCGCCCCCCACTTCCTGCTCTGCAAACTCTTCAGGTGGCCCGACCTCAAGCACGTCCTCGAGCTCAAGCGCCTGTCCTCCTGCGAGGGCTTTGCCGGCAATGTCCCCCCCACCGCCGCCGCCGCCACCACCACCACCGCCGCCGCCCCCCCACCCGCCGCCGCCGTCTGCTGCTGCTGCTGCTGTAACCCCTATCACTTTAGTCGGCTCTGTGGACCAGGTGAGATATTGTCTCCCCCATTCCTTCTCCCTCTCCCCCCCCCCCCCCCCATCTCCCTTTCTCTCTCCCCTTTCTCCTCTCTCTATCCTCCCCCCATCCCCCCCCTCTCTCTCTCTCTCTCTCCCCCTCCCCATCTCTCTCTCCCCCCCTCCCATCTCCCTCTCTTTCTCCTCTCTCTATCCTCCCCCCATCCCCTCTCTATCCTCCCCCCATCCCCTCTCTCTATCCTCCCCCCATCCCCTCTCTCTATCCTCCCCCCATCCCCTCTCTCTATCCTCCCCCCATCCCCTCTCTCTATCCCCCCCTCCCCATCTCTCTCTCCCCTCTTTCTCCTCTCTCCATCCTCCCCATCCCCTCTCTCTCCCCCCCTCCCCATCTCTCTCCCCCTCCCCATCTCTCTCCCCCCCTCCCCATCTCTCTCCCCCCCCTTCCCATCTCTCTCCCCCCCCCCATCTCCCTTTCTCTCTCCCCTCTTTCTCCTCTCTCCATCCTCCCCCCATCCCCTCTCTCTCTCTCTCCCCCTCCCCATCTCTCTCTCCACCCCCCCTCCATGGCTCAGCCCTTCATTCACTGTTGTTTGATGATCAGCTTCTGTGCACATCGGATGTTTATTGGAAGTGGAGTTGCGTTGTGACAGAGCACTCACTCCTGGACCAGTGCAGCTCTGTCAGGGATGTGGGAGCAGCGCGTTTGCTGCTCTTTCCCTGTGTGTGTGTGTGTGAGAGAGAGAGAGAGAGAGAGATGGATTCAACCATCACTGTTTAACCTGACTGATGGCCATCGAACCACTGGGATGTTAAGTGAAAATATTCCCCCTCCATCTGTTGATCGGCTTTTGGAATCCATGTGAGTGCGGCGCCGTTAGGAATCCCTTTACGATTTATGAGTCAAATTCGCCCCAAGTGGGAGGGTTCCTGACATCCTCCAGGAGTTCACAAGGGAAAATATTCTGCTACCAATACCTGTCAATAACACACGGATTATTGTATTATAAACCAAACGCTGAGAGTTCTGAACAGGACGGGACTCTGTCTAAAACCTCTCATTCAGGGTTTATAAACTGCTGCTACTTTCCGACCAATAATAATAATAATAATCCTTGCAGTGGATACAGCGCCGTATCAGGTTTTCGAGACGTCTCAAAGCGCTTCACAGAATATACCGTACAGCGAATTGACTGTGTATTTCGTGGGCGAAACGCAGCAGCCAATTGTGTACAGCAGCGTCCCACACAAACAGTCGTGGATTGAGTGACCAAATTATTATTATTTATTTTTGAAGAAGGGATCGTAACCCCCGGAAAAGTGATCCCCCAAAGCTCTGTTTCCTCTCTGAAAGATAGTTACCTTTAATATGAAACACGTAAATATTTCAGCAGTTGGACAAGATGTGTGTACGTTGCAGAGAAGACGGTAATCAGTCCGTCCAGACAAGTAATGACAGGGTTTGAAAACAGGTGAGAGACTTAATTTCAGATTGGGTGATGCGATGATGTGCGGAAGCACAAATTGGAATATAAAAAAATATATTTTAACCACATTTGATGATAAAAAAAATCAAAACAAGATGTCAGTACTTGTGCCCACAAAATATAGACTCAGTCCACTTTGTAATATATTCTGTGAAGCGCTTTGAGATGTCTCAAAGACGTGATAAGGCGCTGTATCAACTGTAAGGATTATGCTATTGTGGCCCTAACAATACCTACACTTGTAATTTATTGTCTGGCCTATTGAATGAAATGTATAATGTGAAATCACCCATGGTATGACTGGCTTGGCCTGGCTTGGCACTGGGGAGTTTACCTGTCTTGACTTCACTACACAAAGCTTGCACAAAATTAAAGCACCAGGCGTGTGGGNTTTTTGTGGCAATGACTGGTTAAATGGTTAACCCAGACAAGCCCCATTTGCAAAAATAAATACGCACATTTAAGTTGGCAAAAACTTTTTGGTATTGCTGTTAAATACACCTTGAAAAGCAATGCTGTCCATTTTAAGTCCATTTGCGGTTACCTCTTCCTTTCAGCCTTTGTATCAAATTACTGTTTGAACTTTAATCTGTCTGTCTAAAAGTCTAAAAATCATCGGTTTAAAGTTTAGCCAAAAAAAACAAAAGGACTTTGCAGTTCAATTTTACAAGTTGTTTTTCTTGTTTGGGGTTTATTTGTTTATGGCTTCCTTTGTAATATCAATTATATTATTTGTGTGTGTGTGTGTGTGTTCACAGTTAACTCTTAGATGCCAGTAAGTGTGTAAATCTCTACAGGACTCGTGTGAACAGTCAAGAGAAATGAGTTGGTAACGACTAGCTAATCCGAATATTGCCCTTTTAAAGCCGCATTGTCAGTCACTTGGGCAATGAAAAGACTCCAAGCTTCACACACACACCACATACACACCAAAAAAAAACATGTGCAACTCAAAAAACAGCAACCATCAATAAATAACTAAGCTTCTCAGAGCTGGTTACACAGCAACAGAACTTTAGAGCGTCTTGTTTTAGTGGCAATCTTTCTCCCTCTCAGATGCACTGTGTATCACAAATAAACTGATGCAAAGTTAGGGGGACACACACTGATGGATTGTGTGTGGGGGGGGGGAGGGAGTGAATTTAAAAATCTGTTGAAAACCAGACCAATGGCTTGTTTCTGAGCTGCATTACAGACATGTCTGAAAAAAGGCCTGTGCTGTCACTTTAAACCCCAAGCCAAGCCTCTTGTCTTGCCAGCCCTGATGCATTTAGCAAATAGCTGGGGATAACTGAAGCGTGACAAGTGATAAGATGTATTTTTTTTAATGTCACCGATATAGACGATCTGACCTCTCTCAACCCGCAATTCGTTCCTTATAACACAAACGTTGCCTTTTTTTTATTTGAGGTGTTTAAATGTGGAATGATTATATATTTATGTATATTTTATTTATATATATGATATAAATTTTTTTTTTACTAATACAGTATGCAACAGCCCCTGACTAAATCATCCTCTCTCCCTCTCTCTGTCTGTCTGCAAAGTTGAAATCTCTTAAGTGTTGTGATTGCAATGTTTTTTTTTGGGGGGGGAGGTTTGCGTGTGATTTTATATATCAAGTCAATGGTTCATAATTAGCAGTTATGCATCCAGAAAATATACAGTCAATTCGCTTTGCGGCGTATCCTGTGAAGGGCTTTGAGACGTCGCGAAGACGTGATAAGGCGCTGTATCAAATGCCAGGACTATCATTATTATTATTATTATTATCCTTTTCCGATTTGGGTTTGAATCCTGGTGAGAGGGAGTGAAGTTTCCCAGTGGAGTTTTGAGACAGACACTGGATGGAGTCTGCTCACTGCTTTCATTGCTGTGCAAAAAAAATAATAGCCTCAACAGCCAACTTCTGCTCTCAGTGTAGCTCAGAGGCAGAGAAAGCCATTCAGAAAAAAACACTTTGTGTGTGTGTGTGTGTGTGTGTGGGGGGGGGGGGGGGAGGAGGGCTGAGATTACCCCTTTGAAATGAGATCGATTTCAACTCGTGCTTTTAAAAGCCTCCCAGTCTCCCTCCCTCCCAGTCTCCCTCTCTCCCAGTCTCTCTCTCTCTCTCTGTCTCTCTCCTTTTCTAAGGAGATCCAAAGCTATTTATGTGAAGGAGTGGCAATAATATGCAGTTTGCATACGCTCGGCGCCAGCCTGACTCCAGTTTATCTGACGACTGAGCAACCAGGCAATTACTGCAGCTCTCCCTCCCCCCCTCCCTCCCCCCCTCCCTCTCCCTCCCTCCCACAGCTATATCCTTCCTCACCCGAGATCACACACAGATAGTCCTCAGACTGGAACTCACTTGTTTTCACGCTGTAACAACTCCTTCATGTCCTTACTTTCAGAATCTCCTCCACCTCCTTATTCCAGATTCTCTTCCAATGAGGAGGAAAAGTCATTGGGTGAGTCTCCACTTCTCTCTCTCTCTCTCTCTCTCGCAGCTTATTTGGGGGGGAAAGGTTTTATAGCGAGGCGGAGACCCAGCAGCAAGTCGGTGAGTGTGTGGGGGCTGTGATACCCAGTGGGGGGGGAGGGGGGGCACTGAGATCCGAAAGTATTTTCTGGTTGAATATTGATTGAAGTATTTTCTGGGTAAACCACTCCAGGGACCTCCCGACAGCAGCATTCCCCCCCCCCCCCCCTCCCCATGTCAGACATCACTGGGGGAGGGCAGGAATTTTAATTGTGGTCATTAAACACAGGTCCAAGGCATCGTTCACCAGCCGAGGCCGTGCCGAGGGGGGGGCAGAGGGGGTAATGGGGGCTGTAGCTTTGAGCAGCTCTGGTGAGTGAGTTGGCTGTGCTGTGCTGTGCTGTGGGGTGTAAAGTGCCAGTGCCCAGTGAGTTGGGATTGCTTTACTGGAGACGGTGTGGGTTAGTCAGAGTTAGTTATCATGTGGTGGTGATGTGTTTGAAGTGCAGTGGCACCACTTACCTGGTTTTGCCACAACAAAAACTCAAAAATATTTTGGTGGGAAAATGCTGGTAATCAATCAATCAGTCAATCCATCCATGTGTTGCAATATACAGATCTCATGGTTATAATTTATCTTTCAAGGAAACGTGTGGATTTATTTGCTTGTTCATCTTGCCCTGATGTGGCACCCAGGCCCAAGGGGGTAAGGGGGGGTGCCATCCTGGTGCAAGGCTGGCCCGGTGGGGTGGTGAGGAGGTAATGCTCTGCCTGGGGGGTACAGGGCAGCAGTGCCCTGGGGGTAACTAGTTATTTAATTGAGAGGTGTTACTCTCGCCAACCACCCCCCGAGATAAAATTGTTCATTCACTTCATGCCCTTTGGTGGGACATTGCTGTGTGGAATTGGCTGCCATTTTTGCCTATAAATCACACAATCACGAATCTTCAGAGTAAATCCTGTGAAGCGCTTTGGGACGCCTTCCTGACGTGAAATGCAAGGATTATTATTAATTGCTTGCCAGTTCCTCCAAATAAGTGACTCATTCTTTTCATTTTAAGATCCATTGGAATGCACGGTGTCCTACACTGAAACTGAGGCTACCAATTCACCTAGTATCACTTCTGGAGATTTCTCAGGTAAGCTCGTCAACAACGTCTTTCAAAGTTATTAAGCGATTTAAGATTTGTGTTTCGGGTTATATCCCATCTACAAGGGAAGAAAGAGGGTTAGTTGAGAATAACTTGGAAGTTTGGGAGAATAACAAATAATATAGACCAGGTTGAATTGCTGGCGTTTGCGGAGTTATCTAAGCTGGAGTAGTGATCAAAACACTACAAATGGCCTGTGTGCCCCAAGGCTAGGGAGGAGAAACAGTCAGCCAGGGTGCCGGTTCCTCATTGTTCCTACCCAGTGCCTTCCCCCGTTGGAAAGTGTTGACATCATCTGGCAAAGGCAGGAACAAGCTTGGCTGTGGAACCTGCCAGGGTAAAGTTGCCCACACGTGAAGAATGGTCACGTGGTTTGGTAGCAGGAGATGGCTGGTGCCCATGTAACCATACGGTGTGAGGAGGGAACAAATACTTATAATCCACAGTTTTGTGCAGTCATTATGTGATCTCAAATGATGGTTTGCCACACGTCAAATCAGAACCCACTGTGTTGTGTTGAGGTACGGATTGCGTTGCACCTTGTCGGAGGTTGTGTGTGTTGCGATGTGATTGCAGTGGATTTGTCAGATAAGATTTTTTTTCTCTGGGTTGTTAATTGTGGAGTGTCAATTCTGATGCTCATATTTTCTAAACCTGTAAAAGATGCATTGATCTAACAGTTCACGGATAGGTTACCATTGCTGTGGTTTCTTTTGATTCTGGCGGTTTCAAACTGTTGCAGAGAGAGAAAGGGGAGGAGGGTGAAAAGTTACTGTGGCTCCCCTTCAGGGCAGGGAGAAAATGGAGCTGGCGTAGGGCCAGAGAAACCGTTCCTTCAATCTTGTCACGCTGCCTCCAAGCAAGAAAGTACCATTTGAAATGTAAATCGCTTGGTTTTCTGACTGGACCTAATTAACTGGGGCTGGGGAAACATGGAGGGGAAATTTATATTTAAGTACTGATTCACTAAGTGTTAATCTATCTGCTGCTTTCCACTGAATGACTGAAGCCATTAATTTGTTTTTGAAAAATATATATACCATATGTGCAAGCGAGGCTGTAGATCAAAGTGCGAGGCTGATTCTCTGCTGCTGCTCATTCACTTTTTATGATCTTGCGAAGGAACCAGCCCCACTGCTCGCTCTGATGTGTCCACTTTGTCCCACTGCTGGTCTAGCCCCTCCCTTAGTGCCTGTCCAGCCCTTTCCCCAAGAATCCAGTCCTCCCCGATAGTCCAGCCCTCCCCTGGCAGATCAGGCTGAAGGGCAGTGCATGATAAAGCTAAGAATGACTATGCAATAAAAATCACAAAACACACAGTCACTACACTTCACAGTGTATCCTGTGAAGCGCTTTGAGACGTCTCAACGACGTGATAAGGCACTATATCAAATGCAAGGATTGCTGTAAGAATTATAACTGAATAACAAAGCATTGAATGAATAACACCACCTTAAAATGGACAATATTTTTATATGCAGCGCCAGAGTTGCAAAGTTTCCATACTATGTGGGGCTGGATTTTTAGACTATAGGCTGGAAGATGTTTATGGTTATTTTAGAAGCAATAAAAGGCTGATCAGGAGCTGGGAGCCCTGGTAAACACCAGTCGAAAGAGCATCATTACTTTTAACTATGCCCAGATGTAACTGTACTGGGGTAGTGGTCGGTCCCTATGCCAGTAGTTTCTAGTGTTGCTCAAGAGTGCGCCAGTTCAGAAAAATGCTGATAAAATGTCTGTTTGGCTAGTGCCTTCCTTCTTGGATCTTTTAACCAAATGAAGTGATGGATGTGCCTGCACAGAGCCAGCAGAAGATAGGGAAGGTAGTCAAAACTTGGATTGCTTTATTTAATCAGTTTACTTTTGTTAAAATTACAATAACAGCCAAAACTGGGTTTACTTTTTTGTTTTCTTGAAAAGCTTGTAATTGCACAGTACATTGTCTCAATGGCTGCCAGGACTTGTGGGTGGGTGGGTGTGTGTGTGTGAGAGAGAGAGAATCAATAAATGAACCGAGGAAAGTTTTGGAACTCTGGAACTCTCTCCCTAAATCCGTCCGCCTTCCCTCCCCACTTTCAAATCCCGCCTAAACACCTTCCTTTTTCATTGTGCTTACAGTCACCTTCACTCTCCTGGTTCGGTATCGGACTCCGTCACTGTGTGATGGCCGCTATATAAATGCATGTTGTTGTTATATTAGAATCTAGTTTCCACAAATGTACACAGATGGTATCACCGATATTAAAAAAAAACCTCCCTGCCTGGAATGATCTTCAGAGCTAAAATGTGATTCAGCTCATTCTGTAATCCAATCCTGCCCTTTCCCAACTCTACCTCTCATGGTATTGAAACCCCCTAATAACCGCCTGGCTCAACAGGTGATTAATGTTCCCCCAATGGACCCACATACAGCTAGAGGATGGGATGACCCATACTGTGCGTTAACCCCGGGGGCTCACATTAACCCTTTGTGCGAGCCTGGTAATGGCTTGCAGTCCATTGTAAAGCCGGTGACTGCCTAACAGTACAGGGGCAATAAAGCAGGCCCCTCGCCCTCTTTGTTTTCTTTCTGTTTGAGGACTTAAGGTTGATTAGCTGAAGGTTTTTTTCCCCCCCTGAAGTTAGGAAAGGTTATCTCTCTGGCCATCTTCTGCGTAAATACAGACATTTTTGGGACGGGTGTACCATTGTTTGTTTCAAACCCTTTGCTCCGTGGAGCATTACCGGGTGGGGGAAGGGCAGAGTGCTATCGTCAGTCTTAAAAGGTTTTATATCACCCGGGTGTCAGCGGAATTTCTCTTGAGTGAGCATGTTTTTCAGAGCTGAACAGAATCCCTTGCTTTGGTCAAATCAGGTAGTGTTTATCTGGGCATTGTAGCTATTCAGCAGATTTGACAAGACAACTAGAATATTGGTGGATGTGATCTTGACACATGCACCTACACATTTTCTCTCTTCGCCCCCCCCCCCTTCCTTCTCTTCTCCCCCCCGCCACCCCCTCCCAGAATAAAGAAAAGTGGGTAAGTCCCTCAGTGAAAACGCGGAAGGTGTGGGTGCTCAGCGAAGTACAGTCACATCTTCTAGGAGGTTCCTGCTGTGTCTCAAGTGAAAGGAGTTTAAACTGATCACGTTCTCTCTCGCTCAGGAAGCTGGCAGGCATACCCATATGGCAGTGAAGACTCTTAATTCGATGTTGTTGTGAGTGTGATCCATTAACTGGTATTGGGTGAAAGGATTTATCCTGAACAATGCCAGACTTCACATTCTTCTCCTGAACTTGACGGGACCTGTTTGTAGTGCACATGGGAGCATCTTTGCTTTTGCAGAGTATTGCGGTGTGAGGGTTGAGTTGAAGGATGTTAGTGCTGGGTGATCTCCGGTTCCAATGTCTTCTGTCCTCCCCTAAAGGTGCTGGCTTATGTGGACCCAGGCAAGTAAGTGGTCACTCTTCCAGCATGTGAGCCCGAGCACCAGCACACGCAGTGTTGAGGGGACACCATAGCTGAGTGTGATCCTGTCCTCACTGTCACGTACCCAGGTGTACCCTTCAGTCGAAGCCACCTGATAGCAATGAAACCCTGCATTTCTCTTCTCTCCTCAATCTTCCTGCCCCTCTAATTCAGTGGCTCTGAAGTCCCCTGTATGATCAAGATCCCTAGACTAGGTTGGATAGTGATCGTGAGTAGGCCTCTTGACTAATTTGATTCTCTCTTACCTTCTCTCTCTCTCCTCCACCCCCTCCCCATTCCTAGCCCAGGGGCGCTGAGGCCGGTTTTGTTTTGGTTAATTGGCTGTGTCTGGGCACAATCCCTTTATATATTTTCTTAAAGTAAGTTTTTCTTTACAATTGGAATTGATAACATCAGCATTCAGAGTGCAGCACAGACTGGGAACTTGGATGCATGAATCATTGTGTGATCTTATCAGCACGGCAACTTTTTTTGGGGGAAAAAAAAACTTCTTTCTCCCCGTTGCACACTTCAAAAGCAGACCTGGCATCTGCACGGTGATTTATGCTAACGACTACAGCTAATCCATCATATGAGCTTCCATCAGGCACAAAGATAACTGGAGCCAGTTGGGATAATGGTTATTGAATTCATTCATGAAAAGCATTTTTACTAAGATTAAATCTCAATGTGCTTTTTTCTCCCAGCCCCCCTTTCCCTCTCCTGTTATACAGACTCCTGCAAAGGAACCATGCAGTGGAATGCCTTAAGATTTTTTTTCTTTCTAACAAATGGCTACCTCACCTTCTCTTTCAGTGCAATAATAGAATTTTACAGCGAAAAGGAGACCATTCGGTCCATCGTGCCTGTGCCGCTCTTTGAAAGAGCTACCAGCTAGTCCCCACTCCCCCGCTGTTAATAATGTCTGGTTGCACGGGGAAACTCGGAGCTAAAAATGATTGCAAGCCGTATACACTCTTATCTCCTGTTAAGTCTTATTTGACTTGCTTCAAGCACAAATAAGCTTGCCCTTGCCCTGATCTTTCAAGAACTCTCTCCTTTCCAAAGCTCTATCCCCGTCCCTTTGGGATTTTAAATGAGCGCTGGTTTGGAGAGCTTCCCTATAGCGCCCCTCACACAGGGTAGTGAGTGTCCCAAAGCGCTTGACATGGGCGGAGCACGACACCGAGCCGGGGTGGGAGGGGGGAGTGGGGAGGTGCCCGTAGGCACGGTTGAAGAGGAAGTAACTCACCGAAAAGAAACATCTTGAAGCCTTTGCAGAATCTGCACCAGCAACTTCCTACAAACAATAAATAGTTCACATTGAAATACACAGCAACTTTTAGCACGTTTCCAAGTGCTTGACGCTGCTGGCTGGGCACGTGAGCTGGGGGTGGTTGACGGAAGTGGGGGGCGGGTAAGAGAAAGAGGAATACAGTTAGATGAATATAGCCAATTCATCGAAATTGACCAACGAGCGAAATGCATTGGGAACCTCACAGGTACTGTCGTGCCGGGGGATTCCACAGCGTGTGAGCG